TTCCAAGTATCTCTTGACATAAACAAGAGGACATGTTTGTTTTTAGGAGCATTAGGAAACATTTCGGAAGAAGTGAATTCGTTCTTCGAAAGTAACAGAATAGAAACGGGACAATTATAGATAGGAAGAAACTTTTTAAAAACAACTTGAATCGAGTTTTTAGCGAAAAACCTATATTAAATCAACATTTTTGTGGGATTAAACCATACGTGAAAGATAGAGTTAATGTATTTGCTATCATGGTAAGAAGAATAACACGGGATTATGATGATTTGTTTGTACATTTTATATATACGTATATACGGATTTTCCATTTAACTGTATTTTTCCATGCTTTTCTCTTTATTTATTGCTTGTTAAATTAGATTCTTAACCTACAAAATTGTCTAAAACCTCATAAGCTTTTTCAAAACTTTTCTAGATCATTAATTTGAATAAATAAATAGGTCTTCCAAATTACAAAGATCAAAAAGAAACATATTGGGTGAGAAAAAAACAAATATTAGAAGATCCTGTCAAAAAAAAAACATGCTTACTCATTGTATCAAGTCAAAACAAGTTTTAAGGATAAAGAAGTATATATTTTCTATATCAGATATATATATATATATATATATATATATATATATGAGTATAGCAGTTTACATTATTAAATAACATGTATCATGAATTCGACAACGTTCGTGATTTACACTAAGTTTACATGAAATTATCAGAAACTTTCGAAAACAAGACTCATATTTATTCAGTATTTCATATTTCTCTGTGACCTTTGATGATTCAACTTCAACAATCAAACAACTATTTTTCATAATGAAGTATTTTGAAGTGAAATTATCAAATCGAATTTCACAAAATGGAAAGTTGTGAGACTACATTAGTTTTCTGTGATACGTTAAATATTTTTAATTCAAGGTGTGAATAGTCTTTTAGTTATATCGCTCTTTGATTTTAGACTATTTAAGAGGAGAGATTTGGATAGATTCTCTTATTAATCAAAAACATAGTATGTGATGGATGAGAGATATGTTTAAGCATTCATATTTAAGTTTAAATAGGTAAGTTGATTAAAAAGCGAAAATGACTAACTGCTTAAATGAATGAATCACTCAAAAAGCGACAACGTACATATTATAGCGCAGTCTACATGTTATAACTTTAAAGTTTAAAAAGCGATATACATTTAACAAAAATCTATATGGATATAATAGTCAAAACTGTCTACTAATAAAGCCCTCTGCCAAATACCTTGATTACAGATAAAAACAGGTAGCATTCAGTAATATAGCTTTTACTGAAAATCAATAATGATAAAATGAAGACAAGTAGACCAAAGGAGGAAATGAATACTATGTTCAAAATATGGGAATTACAAAGTGTTCAATGTAAACTACTTAGTTTTGTACATATCATTTTACATTTTCGTTTACCTAGTAAGTGAGAGTAGAATGAAGGCTTAAAATGAATTCGGATATGATTCTACCAGCTATCCAACTTAATTGTTTCTAAATTAAGTAACAAAAGACTAGAAAACCATAACTTGAATATTGTTAATAATAATAGCCATAATAATGTCACATGATTCTAGAATAGATGAATACATAAAACACAAACCAAATGATGGTAACTAAAACAAACTGTTTAGACCGTTTTTAAATTAGGTTTAAATAATTAAAGACTTATAAGCTTGAAAAAGATCATAATTAAAGGAAGGGAATATTTTATGCTCATCAATATTTTACATGAAATGAAATAAATTGATAAATGTCAAGTGAAAAAGAACTGATTTCAGTCCTTGATGAGAATTATTTTCATATCTAATAAAATCTTTATAAACTGTCTAAAGAAACATGTACGTTTATTCTGATTGAAGTTTATTGTATAAACAATCTTTATGGTTTTTTGTTATTGTTATGAAAATATAAACTCAAAATACTAAACTATCATATATATATATATATATATATATATATATATATATATATATATATATATATATATATATATATATATATATAGTGTATTTATTTTCACACTATGCGTAATACCTCCTTTATTGAGGTAGGATACAGCTGGTGGAAAAGTAGTGGAATGAAATCATTTTATTTAATACCATAGACACTGTTCTAATTGGGTTGTTTAAGTTGATTAATCAAACCAAGCGTATCCTATATAATTGTTGGATTTAATCTAAACATATCTAACGTTTAACTTGGTGTATATTCAGATACTAATATTATAATTTATAAGCGTGTATTTTATAACGATAGTAAAAAAATTCATCTTTCGAAGTCCAAGCTACTTTATCCCTTGATCATAGTGTTTTACAATCAGGCGTTTCTTACGATAATTATCTGTTTTTAAACGTCCTACAAGCATAACAAGATTAAATCTAAAGCCTATGTAGTACATTTTTTAACGGCACCCGGTATAAGGAAAATCTAATTACCCCAACAAAAATATGTGTATTTATTAACAAAATATTCCAATTGTCAAGTTATTTGATTGAGATGAAGATAAGCGATAATAAATTACCCATTTTAAGACTATATATTCGTAATGTACGTTGTAAATCAAATGTCCAGATCACCTGTACAATTCCTGAATGAAATAAAATATCTTTTAATAACTGCGAATAGTGTATTTGGTATTTCCATTTGAAGCCTAATATGATCTGTAGAGAATTTGACTTTTCTTCATTTTGACATGTCATAAAAAGCAAAAGGTTTGGTATTACCAATCTCTTCAAATATATGATGGATCTATCAATCATTCTGTTGGCTTCGAAAAGCACAATAAAGTCTCCAGAGGCTCTTAAAGAACCAAAGAGATCCCATTCAATCAGAACCTGATAGGGCCTCTGATAATATCATTGTGGCATGCTACAATTGTACGATGACATAACTTGCTCCTTTGAGGATTGGCTGGATAACGATAATAACTATAAATACCCATGATTTTTTGGACATTTTTGATTCTTACCCAATAATCTCTTCCCCTGCTTCTTCCGACTTCTGGTTTGCGACTATGGGGTTTTACATATTCGAGTGCCATAGTTGTATATCGCATTCTGCCGTAATCAGTAGAGAACGCAACACTGGCGACAAGGTGTACCAATAACAATGCCAGTCACACGTGAAGAAGTAAAATCTTTACTTGAATTTTAGGAAAAACAGCATGAATAGTTCCAAGTTTGTATTCTGGAAATCTTGACACGACAAATGAACCTGAATCACAGAGGAATTACTGATGTTTCATGTAACTCATATGCCGATTTCGTCATAAATTCTATCCATGAATTTCATTATGATGGTTTGGGTGGTATCACATTCGAATCATGGTTCAAGAAACATGAAGATTTGTCCAAGGTAGGCCAACAGAATTGGTGACACCTCCAAGGTCAGAATATTCCTAGGGAAACTTGTCACGGTTGAACAGGAACGTGATTTCATGCTTCCAAAGGACCCGAGAGATTTTTCTTCCGATACAACAATTGACACCCTGCCTCAAGTGTTTACCGAACAGTCATCGCTGTTTAATATCCGTTATATGTGTCTCAAGATAACAAGAGTCGATGATGATGACTGGGTGAAACATGCAGATTTAGCAAACCGTGAATGAGAGCGGTTTAAACTACCAGCAATGACGGAAGGTCAGTTTAAATGTTTGCGTTTGTATGATGTATCCAATCTCCTAAAGACGCTGATATCAGAACTAGGATTTAGAGTAAAATTGAACAACGCCCGAACATAATGCCACAAGAAGTAACCACAGAATGCCAGAGGTTGGTAGACATGAAACCTGATACTTTCATGGTTGAAAACAATGGCCGGCCACCATACGTCCATGCTGTAAGCATGGAGTTATCATTTTACCAAATCGCCAAACCATCACTTTGAAGGATAACTTTTGCAGTACTTTCGTCGACGTGACTCACTGATGGTTGTCAACTAACGCGTTATGTTCTGTGACTGAATCGTTATTCCAGAATTACTGAGCCGCAAGGTTCTCAAGCAATTTCACGGTGGTAACCCTGAGATCGATGAGATGAAATCATTGGCTCGAAGTCATGCTTATTGGCTCTCAATGGACAGAAATATCGAAAACAAAAGCCGTAACTGTTCATTATGTCTGCAAGTTGCTAAAAGCCCTTCTAAATGAGAACCACAGCAGTAGCCTCAGTCTACTGGTTACTGGGAGAGACTCCGCTCAGATTTCACTGGTCTAGTATAAGGAAAATGCTTATAACAAAGTTTTGTTATGATCAAGAATAACTAAGCCTCTCTCCACAGCTACAAAAGGGGAATATTCATTAAATGTCTTTTCCTTTATAATAAATCGTTATGTAAGAAAGAATCAAGACATATGGTTTACTGGAAATCAGAATGTAGTTTCGATGGTAAAAATTTGTGTCATACAAAACTGCTAACGGAGAAAGAAGAATTAACTATTAGCTTGGATTGCTATAGGGCGATAATGTAATAAGCAAAATGGTACAAGAATATAAAAGATAACCACTAGACGACAGTTACAAATCTGCTTGTAAAGTCAATTACAACAGACATTATAGGTTCATAGCATCAATTATTTCCTACAGAAGACCGATAGCTGATTCAACATGAAACTCGACCTAATAAACTTCACTACTGGGTAAAAGTGGTGCATAAAAACGTGTGAAAGAGGTTGATTAAAGTATGTGATTAGCTTGTTATTTCAGTTTTATTGTTCTTCGTACCAAAATTTTTTGCCACAACTGGTTGATTTAAGGAATCACTACCTTCAATTTTTCTAAGGTCATACGTATCGTAAATCAATGGATATCAATGAAATTCAGTGAATATACAATTAATAGTTCAACTACCAAATAAACATCACTCTTCTTCAAATAGCGTGAATACTGATAGTAACTCATAATTTCTTTTCGGTCGAAAAACTGAATAAAATTTTAAATGCTTCTAATAGATTAAATATTATTGGTCAAATGTAAACTGTTTACTTACCCCACTGGCTATACTTAGATTTGTGCGGCTTCCAGCTTCAGAATCCAAATGTTTTTGGTGTGTTATAGGTATTTTACCAGGTGTCAAATCTGCATAAGAGGAGTTGAGTTTTTTCTCTGTTAATGATGTAGTGTCACTACCTAAAGATGGACTGTAGCATTCTGATGAACTGAATCCCGGATTCTGCTTATGAAGATTAGCTTCTTTAGATATATTTATTTGATGCAACTGTGGAGTAGATGACTGTAAGAAGAATACGGTTCTTAATTATTGTTAATATGCTAAAGTTCATTATATCATATAAGCATGAAATGCAGAAAAAGTAAAAACTGTTACTGTTTGTCAGGAAATAATATCTTTATCTTTGCTTCTAAGCTGAAACACCTTAATATTCTACTGTTAAGTAATTACTTATATCTAGGAAAACAAGAGTTAGTAGATTGATGTTCACCTGTTCTGCAACTATAAAATAAGTTTAATTAGCAAGTGATTTTTGTCATTATTTATGCATGTCTTGATCATCAATTTAATTGATTTTTTATGCTAACATAATGGGCAAAAATGAGTGAATAAACTTATTATAGATTATATTCTTAACTCAGACTAGAGATTTTTGGAGTAACTGTCGGTCTCAAACTGATGTAAAGGAAGAGGGTCGAGCGTTGAGTAGGTAAGATACTTTAAAGAGCTTTTGAGTAGACCAGCCCCACTGAAACTACTGGATATGAAAGTAGCACATATAGATCTACCTATTTATCATACCTCACCAAGATAGCCATCTGGCGAATTAAGGGTAATAAACAAGAATGCATACCAGCTGAAGTGCTGACTTCAGATTCAGAGGCAGTTGCAAAGATGTTACACGTTCTCTTCAGAAAGATTAAGGAGAAGGAATGAGTACTAACGAACTGAAAAGAAGGATAACTAATCAACTTACCAAAGAAAGGAGACTTCAGTAATTACAGCAAATACAAACGGACCATGCTACTATCAGTATGAGGCAGTTTTCAACAGAGTATTAATAAACCGAATGAAGGATTCCGCAGATGTTCAACTTTGATATCAACATTCTGCTTGGGAAACTCATATAAACCTTAAGAGGAACAACCATTATATTGTAGTTGGGATAGGGTAGTTTAGTTGATATCACTTGCCATTTAAATAGTCTTTAAATAGTTATTATTATCATTAACAGTGTAGTGAACATGAACATACAAGTGGGGATAATCAAATGTATTTGAACACAAAAATTACAGAATCTCTTAGTAAAATCTGAGAACCATACAGTAAATACTTTGTTTACAAAACGTCAATTAATTGTCTGAGACTTGATTGTTCCTTCATCTCCACACAAATAATTCTCTGTCCTCGATCTCTTTTCTTGGATCTTCTTAACCTTCTGCCGCCAGGCCTTCACTTTCAATTAATGATACATACTACTTATATCCGTCGACATCAGTAGCACACACCACAGTAGGAGTAAGAATAGTGGGGAGATGCTTAAGTGTTCTTTTACTTGATAAAAAATAAAGCTACATATTGAACATAGAAACGGGATTTCTGGAGCATTCAGTAGAGTTTGATTGGTTACTTTTAACAATAACCAATATTTTAACTACATATCATTCAGGAAATAAGAAATTAGTTAACAATGACTTATTATGACAAAATAAAATGCAAAATTGGATCGACATATCTAAATGATATCATACGTCTACAAAAGTATTCAATAGAAATAACACACATACGTGATGTCTATCAACCGTTGGATCTGTTTCATCGTCAATCCATGAATGAGTTCTTTGTGGAACATAACCACTATCAACCAGTGACTGGGAATTCTTCAAGTTTGAATGTTATAATACAAAAAGAGTGTATGGTCAGTTAGTCAAGTTACATTCATGTAATTATATTGAGAGTAATATGAGCAACAACTGCCAATCTAACTAGCTAAAAATGAGTTACTAAAGGGAGAGTGTAATTTAATATTTAAATTAATTGAAAATAATTTTATCGGGATTTTTGAATCCAATCTTATTGTTTCGTTTTTACTATCATACTACTTAAATGATTCACTTCTCTCTAAACTTTCAAATAATGTACTTATTTGTCTTCGATTATTTTTAGTAGTAGATTTTGAGCTATTTTGTGATGACTTGATCAAACTTGAACTACCAACTAGTTATTAAGACAATTAAGATCGTATAGCGAATCTATCTAAAGAAACTTAAGAATTGGAAAATGCATATGTTAACTTTAAACAAACCCAAATCCATCAACGTGGTTTCTTACATCATTTGAAAAAGTGGCTTATTGTGACGGCTAAATTTGAGTTCAGTTGTAAAACTTGTGTTTTGGAATACCATATCATAGAAATTCACAAAATATCCTCTACGATTTAATCAAGAAAAAAATCCTATACGATTATTCCATATTTTAAAGTTCAATATTCTTTTTTTAGCCTAACAAATATATTCTATAAATTCTACTCAATATATTCTTAAATGATCCCAACGAAACATCCAATTTTATGATTGGAGCTTATGAAGAGTAATTCGGAGGAATAGCCTCAATAAAGATTGTTTGAATCCATTCAAAATTTAGTCGTTCTATAGAACCACTAAACATTTACATCTAACGTGCATTCTGGGTACAGTTTCTAGTTTTACCGAATTTTATTGTAAATTCTTATTGGAACCTGCATATTTTAGGAATAGTTACTAAAGGAATACAAATTTCAAGACCACCTAAAGGTCAAGTAAGTTCAACAGTTTAGTTTGCTCAATAAAAGGTTATTTGATGAATTTCTCAATATATTGGCAGTAGCTTTAAAAACCGATTTCCAACACACAGGGAAGACTTGCTATCCAAGCTCCTTGTATTTACTCATATTCCAATGCTATCATACACTTTTGTTTTGAAGTGTAAACTTTATTTGAATGGGGTTTATTTACCTACGAATCCGCTCAACTCTTTTATAATCAATCGTTTGTATGGTAAAGAGAGGTCTAAAGTTCTTAACGGAACTAAACAATAAGATAACTCTTTATTATTAACTTATCATTGTGACCTTAAACACAAAAATAAGTACAATGAGTAACGACATACAGGATATATAATTTGGAAAGTCTATTAATAACCTTAAGAAAATTATGACTTATTACTGTGTTATTATTTTAATTCGCTGATATAACATAATTATAACTATAGGCCTATCTAGAACAAGTGACCAAACTTACATGAAGAGATTTCGATTGTTTGTCTAATGAATGAAAATAAAACACGATAAACAAACAATGTTATCAAACTTCATTTATTCTAATTCCAGCATGAACGAAATAATAAAAATAAGCTTAGATTTTTGTTGTAAAACGCTAATCCATCCGCCAAAATATTTAAAGTTATCTAATATTGCATAGATTAAAAACAAAGATTTGAGCTAAATAACATGAATTTGTTTTAGTTCTGTGCGTTCTCATCAGTCGTTTACAACCTGTAATATTTAGACAGGGACCTTAATCACTAAGTGGGTTGAAATTACTTAGATAAATGGATTCAGTTGAAAGACATTTTGAGCATACGTCAGTACAACACATCGAGGATGGAGAAAAATTTAAGATACTAAATAAAACAATGCTAACGTATATCTCATGTGAAAAAAACATTCTATAGCAAAAGATCAAAGAGTTAGAAACGAGTGATTACTTGATGAATAGACGCTAACAATAAGTAAGCATAAAATATAAGTAAAACTCATTTATTTCATACACAAAGTTCCCTTTATCATTTTGAAAAGAGCAAGAACAAACATTCTAGCAGAATAGCATGAATTCATTTTTATTTCGTTGGTTCTCGTCAGCTGCTTGCAACATGTGATATTTAGAATCATAATTACACAATGGGTTTAAATTACTTACTTAAATATCACAGCTTGTAAGCAGCTGACGAGAACCAACGAAATAAAAATGAATTCATGCTATTCTGCTAGAATGTTTGTTCTTGCTCTTTTCAAAACTCATTTAGTTGAAATAAGATTACTAATCTAAAAGATAGTCGAAATAGAAAGGCATGATGCTTCACCAAACTTCGGAAGATTGTAGCTTGGTTATTTGTTAATCACCTTGATAGATTTTAAGGTATTGACCTGATGATCTGTGTCCAAGAGAAGTTTTGAAAAATACTCAAAATATCTAAGATATGACCTCCTTCATGTTTGGTGATTGTGGCTGCTTTTGGAAATACACGTAAATTCTCAGACATAGTTGTCGGTAACGTGAAAGGGATGGCTATCGACTTTTGACAGAATTATTGAAGATGTTTTATACAGGATTAATAATTCGGTTGCATGGTAGATTCCAATTAATACGTTGTTAAGCCTCCTTCTCGTTTCCTCAGTGAAGCCATCACATTTGAAATGGAGATGGATAAATATTGATTTTTTATTGATTCTAGCAACATTTGACTTGTTATCTTTAGCTACTTTACATTTAACGTAGAATTCTTAGGCGTAACAGAAATCTCTTAGACAGTTTAACAGTTCAAATGTTAGTCCAGTCGGTCAGTAGTACCTATCTTTTCCTGTCAGTAGTTGTTTTCAAGATGTGAAACTTAAATCTCGGTGATAGGGTTTCAATTTCTATGTGATTCAGAAAGGGCGATGTCTACGGAAGGTTCAAAAACATTATGTCCCCTTTAGACCCATCCTTTTAGTGATAACTTCATCGTATCACCGATTTGCACATCAGCTGACAAAGAAGTCAGTACCAGACTGTAAACGATTAGCAACATATACTTTAAGAGACTCCCTTTGGTTTACGGTCAAATTAAATTATATGCATGGTTTCTTTTTATTTAACATACTTGTCTGACAAAACACTTCATGAAACTTTTGAGATAATTTTCAAATATTTTAAACTTTTATTTTGACCAGAGTTAGAATTCAGACGACTGCTACTTATGTGCACTAAAAGCGTTTGATTCCAGTTTACCAACACTATAAATCGTCGAATTGATGGTGTAGCAATGGGAAGTCTATTAGGTCATATTATAGTAGATTTTTTCGTAGTTTATTTTGAAAATACGGAGCTTAAACAAGCAATTAATGGTATGATGACATATTCCATGTATGTTGATGAGACACTTATTGCTTACAATCGTAAGCAGCACGCAACCCACATGTTAGGACTCTTCACTAAGCCTCATCAGAACATACAATTTCCTATGAAGCCCGAAAATAACAACATGATAAACTTTCTTGAGACTGCAATACAACAGAAAACACTATCAATCCTAATAATTGTTTAACTGTTTATCATTTGAACAAATTATCAGCTATTGTTGTCTTATTTCTCACTGACCTTTTTAATGACTGGTAAAAAGCACTCAAACGTCAAACGGAAAGCACCAGTGTATACAACATTAACCTATTAATATTCGATCAATTTTTATAATAAATCCTTATAAGGATATTTTCAGTTTACTAGGGATTATTTATTTAATGCAGTAAAGATTTTGAATAAATAACAAATCTGAAGAAACCATTAATTGAAAAATGTAATCACTAAATTTCATTCTCATATGGAGAAAACGTATTCTAAACGTGATAAAAGGAGGCTGAAGTTATTACATCCATGTTTTTACATTGATTAGTGCGTAAAAGTAAGGTGTCAGTGTGAAATAGTTGTCAAAATAACTAAATTCATCACTTTTAACATGCAAATTAATAACAAACATCTTAGTTTCTGTGAGATCGGTAAAAGATATTTTACGTACTATGGGCATACTAGCTTAATCCACAAATTACTGAGTGAATTAATTGAGTTCACTAGTTTGTCATTACATTCCAACTCAGTTATTAACATCACCTTAAACTTCGAGTATAATGATATAGTAGCGTTAACAGATCAACCCTTGAGGAAGAACAGAGAACGAATCAGACAGAAAACTTTGTATGGTCAAATATTCTAGACAATGGTAGATAATATGAGAAACTTTGCTACAGAGTAATTTTTCTTATTGATCCATTATCAATTCATAACTGATCGTCTAAAGGTCATATTTGACTTTTTAATATGCCAATAAACCATCTTTTTTGATACTAAACTAAACATTGATTATTTTCGGAAACATAACATTCACTTCGATTTGAATACAATCATTAGACTTATTTTCATGGTTTTTTCCAAATATACACCATCTCGTTTTGAGAACTATGAAAATATTTAGTGTTTCATGTACTATATAACAGGTAAACGGATTGCTTGTTTGATTAAGTGAATTCATAGTTAGTAGTACGACGTATCGAAACGATCAATGAAATATTTTGATTATGTTGGGGCAAATATTGATTGTCGAATCATGACTATACAAAATTGTTTCCTTAGATAAACAAAAAAAAGTTTATTACTAGTTGATTTTAAATAACACGACATTTCAAGTTAAATAACACATAAAGGTGTACAAAGCACAACATTATGCTTTACTGGTAAGTATGTGTATTTCGTATTATTCACAAATATTCATCTATGACTAGATAAGTAACAGCAAAAATAACCTATCTAACTTTATTATTAATACAGAATCAAATCAAACTCAGATATCGTTGAGCACACAAAATGAAGTGTAAAAAGTATAAATTCGACGCTAACCTGGTTTCGAACTAGACTGACGTTTTTCCTCTGTTGTGGTAACTAAAATTAAACAGAAAGTAAATTTCGGTAAAATCTACATATTTGAAAGATTTAGCACACATAGGAATGATGATCAACATCTCAGGCAACACCCAACATCGAATAACTAACTAGTTATTACTGATATAATAAAACAAAGTCAAACATGTAGAAGGCTTTTAAGGCACCAAACACCACAAACATTTAAAAGTATGTCCTACATCCAACACGTTGATCCTGATGATTGACTTCAAGTTGCCCGTCCGCAGCATCTTCAGTAGCGTTGTTTTTCGAACATTTGTCAAGAATTGAAGTATCTCTATCACGATTGAGAAATTGGTTATCTCCAGATACTTTATTTGACTTTTCATCTTCAGGGTAAAATAGACTCATAGATCTCGATTTATCATTTTTCCCAAAGTTATTTGTTTCGTTTGTATTCCCGAAAGAAAACGTACCGGATAATCTACGATGCTGTTGAACTGGAGAGCAAGATAAATCATGACTGTATGTTTCATTTAAATAAAAGTGGGAAAAATTCATTCATTTTTTCACGTTTCATTCTTGATGAACTTTGAAAAAAGTTTGAATATGTTTCATGGTTCGTAATTTCGCTATATGTCCTATCATTCTTTTCATGGTAGTTTGCTCTTGTATTACTGTCATCTTTATCATCTTAACTCAAAAAATCATTATATGAAACTGATGACAAGTGTAATTTAAACGATTGTTTTTAAACGAAGTACTTACGCATTGTGTAGTAATAAATAGACGTCTAAAAATCCATTTCAACAATGGACAGGAGTTTGTAGTGATATATATATATATATATATATATATATATATATATATATATATAGAGAGAGAGAGAGAGAGAGAGAGACTGCCTAGATGTTGCCCGAAGAGACTGATCAGTTGCGGTCCTTAATAACAGTACCGGGAAGTTTTAAACCCTAAAGAATAAAAATTTCTGTTGTACAAGCTATTGGTAATTCAGTAGATAACATATTGAGTGAGTGAAGCGAAAAATCCTGGGTTAGAGTTTTAGTATGAACACCAACGCTGAGATGCATGTATACTCAACTAATGAATCCGAAATTGGACGAAATTCGCTTTTTCGACCCCACTCCTAACCATTATTCAACTTGACTTCATTTATCATCGGTTTAATTTTTCAAGAACCCAAGTGGACGGCTTATAAAAGATTATTTATCTATTGAATACCTATCAATCATCTAGTTGTTAGGTTGCTCTAGGTAATCCTTAGAGCCTTACACCGATGTCTGATTACAAAGTCTAGCTGTTCGATTGTAACTTCATCAATAGAATTCATTTGTATACAAGGGCTAAACAACATGACACTGGTTAATACTCACCGACACATTAGTGGAATGGTTTTGAAATTCGGGCCTTAACTGTCCACAACAATCATTCCTTTGAAATCCAATTCCTGGGCAATATTTTTTCAAAAACCTGGATTGCAAATGCCATTTACAGATTTCATAAAAACCACTTTTAGTGATTACAGTTATTATCAGTGATCAAATAAAAAGGCGATATTTTGATTTCAGTTTCAAGTTAACTATATGATCAGTGACGAAATAGCCAGATAGTATTGAAAAATTGTAGTTTGAATCGATCAGACACTTAAAAATTTCACAACAATGGAAAATTATTCTGGTAGGTTGCATGATAGTAGATGGCTTATAGTTACAAAATAAACAAACAATCGATTCTAGAAAACAATAAGTAGTTTGTATTATCAATGTACTTTCCCATATATATGCAACTATTATTGATATGATTTCTGTTCGACAATACGGAGAAATGAAAAATACCCTATAAAAAATTTAATACTCTTAAAGTGAAATTTTCCAATTTGTAGTAATTTAAATGTGATGCTCCGTTTGATAACCGATGAACAAAAAATAGTAGATTAACATAGTTCAAGAGGAGGATTTGGGAGGTATTTAGTTCTCTGAGATCGATGGTTTAGTTTTGAAGTTTTGATTGTCTTTCTAGAACACAATTAGTACATGATTCAGAAAGTGACCTATCAAGACTTATAAACTTCATGAACAACCTGCTCTGGTGATCTGGAATATGATTAGCTGTTGACCAGAATTGTGTTGTAGTTCTTTGTATTCAGCTGAGAGGACACAACACCTAAATCTTTGCATCCACTAGCCATTTTCTGAAATATGCAACCACATACTATTACTCGTGAATCTAGAAATTAATCTCAGGGATGCTTCAAGTAAAACTTCGATGAGAGTCTTGCTTTATTAATTAAATCCATACATTTATTCTTCATATTCCTTGTTTGTTTTTTCATCAACTTTTGTTCATACTTAACTCATAATTGACGAACGAAAGTCGTCATTATATATCTGAATCGCAATGGTAATTTTCTTCAGTGCCTCAATCAACTTCTATGATCAAATGAAGTAAGAAGCAGACCATTTCTCTTTCGTCTATCACACATTTGATCCAATTTAAATAAATACCATATTTATGAATCACATAGGAGTAGTTAAATGTATCCGATTCTTTTTCTAGAGGTTTTTGATATGACTCATCGAACAAATGGCATTCTGCAAAATATCATTATTATTTTTGTTATTATTATTTATTATCATTCATAATTACTTACGTAAATAATATAATTCTGTACTCAAATAACATAAATCTCAATTAATTTTTGTTATTTTATTCCCTAACCCATTTGACAGAAGGTATCGATTATGATTGGTATATACCTACTAAAAACTTAATTGAGCATAGCTTATTTTAATGATTAATTATAACACAAGATGCATATTCTAAAGGATTTATTTATGCGTAAGACTGATTGATTATTTGTGCCTTTGTTATTAACTCGATACGTGCCAATACATATGATGGCTTTGTAAATTATAATACATTTATTTTATGTTGTTCTGAATGAAAGAATGAAGGTGTTCACAAGCTGATAATTGTAATTATCAGTGTATAGACTGATACCATTTTGAAACAATAGTGAGTAGTCAACATTCTTTAGAAGGCCAAATGGACAGGACATAGAAATTCCGGGTGAAAACTCAGCTTAATAATTTCTCAGAACTATTGTGAAGATATTTTTTGTCTTAAACTTTTCTCAGTCGAAAAAGAATGCAGAAATGAGGTGATTTATGTCTTGTTGTGGAATCGTACATCTTATTAGGGGAAATTCAATTTCACAATGGTAATTACTCGTCACAATAAATCTGGTTGTAAAGAATCGAAGCCGTAAACCTGAGACAAATAAGCTTCTGCTCCTTTTTAATTTATGATAATTATGTAAATGATGTCAGTTCCTGGTGGAACACATGTCAACACTAACCAGATTACTGTAATAAAAAAATACGACTAATTATCCATCTTGGGGTTTTGAAATTACAGATTGACCTTATAAAATCACTAGAAACCAGGATTAATTGAACAACTGTTTCATTATACAACAGATATGCTTGTCATCGAGTGTCCATAACCACACTGAAACCTTCAAACTTATCAGACAGTGCTTAACCTTAAGACCACTGAGTGAGCATTAAATGGTGTCTAATTCTAACTTTATTCAATTCTTCCTGGTTTGTAGTAGCTGTCGGAATAAGGTCAATGCGTGATGTGGAACTACAAAGTTCAGGGATCTTCACGATTCCTTAAACTAAAAAGTATACACCTCGTAGTCGGATGATTTTTTTCAGTTTATAGTATGAACTCATAAAATTCTATTTCAACTAGTTCAGAAATTAGAATTATTTCTGTCCAACAATCATGTATGACATTCACATTACCTAGAATCAGACAACTCTGTATCGTCGGGTTACCTGAAAAGTTAATGAATCCTTCATCTTTTTTAATTTTCTGTGGTTTATTAACATGAATAATTCTTACGTCCTACCATTAAATGTACGTAATCTAAAAACAAATCCAAGCTTGTTTTCGTTTTGGAGAGAATTAAAATACAAGGGTTAATTTTGGCGCGGTTTATTAGCAGATGGACATTAGAACATTCTGTTATGTACGAAGATTCCTTACTCCTAATAATCAATAAAGCCTAGAGAGGATCAACATTTAAAGTAATGACTTAACCAACAAATTATTCATTTCTCTTGACCAAAAATAAAAGGTAAACTGGATTATATTAGAAACAAGCGAAACATATTGCCATGAAATCAGGCAATATAGAACCTCATCTCAAAGTTTGTCGGTTAAAAAAAGCTTTCCAGTACTAATCAGTTTTAGTTTGTTGTTTAAGTTTTATCAAAATATGTAAAACATATTACTTACAAATAAACCAGATTTCTCTTTTATTTTCACTTCAATACAAAAAATAAGTGGAACATTTTTTTACTAAAAGATTATTCCATCCCAAACAGAACACTTCCTCTTGGGATAGCATTTTTATATTCCTACTGTTTCTTTCAGACAACTTTGAAGACATAAAAATTACACTGATTTTTTCCAGATTATCATGTGCTGTTTTTATCAAATCATCAATCATCATTTTAAACTGAAACTGAAAATTCATTTGTTTTTATTTCGACAAACGACAAATATTTTTTCGGCTTACATAGAGAACCACAAATAGTAGTAAAATAAAAATGTAAAATTATATTTAAAAAAAGTTTAATAGGCAGCCATGGAATTCTTTTAAACATTCGAAACTTTATTATTGAAAGCTATTAATATAAAAATATAAGCATTCAAATAGAAAAATGAGTTATAAACTTTTATATGGTAATAGATAGACAGAGAAAGAGAGAGGGAACACCACATCTTGTGGACACCCTTCATTTTTCACTTAAAGACAGTTATCATTCTTTAAATATAAACTCAATACTACATGCATGAGAAATGACATAACAAATCGTATGACTTCAATGTGCAATCGTATATATATATATATGAACAAACGTTTAGGATCAAAAATATAGTTGAAATGTAACTAAATAATAGTGTTTATTGCAACTATTTCCACAGATCACTATACCTATGCAACTCTCTTTTATGTTAACGAAAAAAGAGTACTATGATTTGGCGTACTGACTCACATGACGTGACAGTGCGAATCCAAAAAAGCTCTACAGAAATAGGATTTTCAAGTTCTGAAGCTGATGGCATTGATCAATCCCATTTTAAAAACAGATGAGGTGTTCTGGTATTTTAAGAATATTACTAAATCCATTTTATTCAGCTTCTACAAAATTAGTCATAGTTTTAGAAACTGATATTTCTGTGTAGAAAAATATCCTGACACTGAACATAGAAATAAGTAACTTGGCACAACGAATTTCAGGAAGTTAGTTTAGTGCAACTGAATGAACATCTTTTTTTAATTTAGATCTTTTCCATGACCCTAATAATTAGTTTATGCAAGTATTTCACTATATCTGTCTATGAATGTTGTAAGTTAATTTTAAAATAGAATCTATACACGATAAATAAAGGTTGATAAATATAGACGTATTGTGTAAAATTTTTGATGCTTCTTGGCTGATAGATTTCAGCAGTTTATTGCAGGCTTCCGAACTACAAATGAATGGCAGCCTTAGCAATGCTAAAATACAACCGCTGAAATGATCATTTCTGTTTTTTGAGTCTAAACATTCAGGCTATTCGACACTATAATACATAAAGATGTTTTCTATGCTAACTAGTCACTTATTTAGTCACCTGTTCTACGTGGAATCACTTAAACATTACAACTAACGACACAGAAACATTAACTTTCCATCTAATAACTTTTCACGTCCTCTGGTTAATAGATTTTTCAACTGAGAATTGCGAAGACTAACTTTTAAAAGACGTTACTATATAATGTCGTAGTTCTAAAATTATCATCTAACAACAGATAATATCAACCCATTATTAATTATTTTATCAGACATCAACCTGATTCATATAAAACACCAAAATGATTTAAGATAGCGAACTTATTGTGATTACAGTTTAAATTATTTCTAAAAGTTTGAATTCCCTAGCTTACTTTCAGAGCGAGAAATACATGACCACTTATAACCCAAGGAAGAACTATAAAAAGTGATTTCCTCTAGATTCTCTGTCAACCATCATCATGGAAATAAAACATGTAATAATCCATTTAAAAACTCACTCAATTCTTGCACATTTGCTCCTCGACTACGAGGTGTGTTAGATCTCGCTTCACCTAAAAGAAGGTTGATTAGCATTTAAGCACTTGATATTGTGGCGAAACAAATATTAAAACGTTTAAAACTTACTAGGAAACAGTTTGATAAAAACAGATAAGTAGAATCTTATTAAAGAGCCTAACAGTAAACTCTCCTGTACAATAACTTGTGACAAACATATAGTGCTAGTTTATCGTATGTACGAGCGTAATAACAGAAATATTTTGGGTATCTACATAACCGTTTTTGCATTTCGTATTTAGGATTTAGAATTTTGTAGTTTGAATATATTCTGTTACAAAATATGGGGCTTGAGACCTAGATTTTGCCAAGCATACAACTTCTATCTTGGCAGTATTCGACCATATCTGTTGTACCATTATTCGAAGTAGATTTCATTAGCGTCAATACTGACTGTGGACGATAAAATGGATAACTATATGTTTATAGTAACCAGGCTTATCTGATTTTTACCATATAGGTTTTAATCAAGACTCCTTCCAGTAGCGGATTTCTAGGAACACATCAAAATATCTTACTTTCGTAGATAGTAGAATAGATTTGTATCTAGAAGCAAAATAACTTGCTTATATGCAAAATATGAAATCCACAAGTAAACATGATTATGACTCATTAAAATTTAAACATTTTGAAGACTCTGATTTTACAGGCCAATCGAACCGTGGCAAAACTAAGATTAGGCTATTAGGCTTATTTCTTGTTCATCATATCATAGTTTGTATAATATTCACACGACTTGGAGAACAAACTACTTTATCATGTGAATATTAAAAATGATGAGATTTCTGGCTGAGATGCGCATAAATTGTGTTTTACGTTCATATACTACAATGGAACATCAGATTCTATCGTAAGTAAATCATTTATTCATTTGAATAGGCTAGTAGCTTGATGTTGACTGGCCAACATTATACATATCAAGTGGGTTTATTCTTTTTAGAAAACTCGCAGTCTACAGTATTTTTTATGCGATTGAAGTACTAGTCTCCAAACTGAGTTGATGATAGTCAACGTTTAATAACGTCAAATTCTAAATTATTTACGCGAAGTGCTTGTTATCAGACGGAGACATTGGGACAATATTTCCCTTTTTACAAACAATATTAGGGATACAAAGAGTAAATGCTTAACATAGAAATCAGAAATTTAAACAAAAATAACTTTTATCTCATATGGCAAACTTTAAAATGTCCGTTCTTACGTTGAATTCTTTGGATAGATGAACGTAGAGCTTCTGGACCACTAACACCTCTTACACGACCAGATGCTCGAGCTTGTTTCAGTTGTTCCGTGAACCATACTCCAAGTTTACATTTGTGCAGACTATAAACAAAACGTTGAAAGTAATTATGTTTTATCTTGTTGAGTTGTAAATTCCCAAGCTTTTACAATATTTATCAGAGTTGATTGCAAAAGTAGTTTTATTTTTAGTAACCTGAACTGATGTAATATTATTACTTCTAAATAAACAAACTACAGTAGTTAACATCATTCTCCAGTGTTTTACGCAAACCCAAGAACTTTTTTACAACAATATCATGTTAATCGTCTTCAACTCCTGGAGTTCTAGTAAGAAGACGTGACCAGTGGAGTTCAATCCGCGTCGTATATGAGACAGTTATCTACCTCAAACAATCGATGAAGGATTGTTCACGATCATGGATCGATTGGAGTTAGCCATTATTACCGTTGGACTCCGGCTCAGTGGTCTACAGGTTAAGCGTTCGTGAGCGAGACCGAAGGTTCTAGGTGGGAATCCCGCGTGCATGACCGTGGATGCGCACTGCTGGGGAGTCCCACATTAGGACGAAACGGTTTTCCAGTGCTTCCAGGTTTCTAATGGTTGTCTAGCTAGGATCAACTCGTGATTTCAACTGTGAAAATATTCTTATTTTACAAAATAGGCTTCCGAAGAACTTTACTCATAAATTCTATTAGCAGATAGAAAATAATAATTTATAAATAGTAGTACAATAGACTATTATTATAGAAAAACACTCTGACAGTAATGCACTTGGTAAACAGTGTTAAAACGATACAGCAGAACACTCTTGAGACACTTTGTAACGAAAATGCAAAAAGGGATAAAGACATCATAGATGAAAGAACACCTCTGAGGAATATTTTAGTGGAGTCAAACAGTTAGCATGTTCGAAACAATCATGAATAATGCCTACGTTCGGAAAAAAACATTAAACTGAAACAAGTTTTATCAGTTACTCGAAAATCTAATTTTTGTTTTCTACCTTCCGCGAATTTCTATTTATCTTTCATTGGTGGCGACAACTACGCCATCCCCAATATAAATCAAGAATGGTGTTGAATGGAGTGTTTATATGACTGAGAGTTCTTAATTCCGAGTACACATATGAACATATGGGCGATAATCCTTCGGTCATGACCAAATCAGTAATTATTACTAATATTATTTAAAAGAATTCATTGTTATTGTTAGCTAACCATTCTGCATAAAATAATATTATAGTTTCGTTTGGGAAAATAAATAGGGGCAAACACCTATTGGTTTAATCCATATTAGAATAGTCAAAAACATACGAAATAGCTTCATATAATAATGATACCAATATAATTTTGTGGTGTTCTAATTTTCATGATAATTTTCAATATAAAAACCCAAAATTATTCAAATATGATCATATTTTTCAGTACTAAACTTTCATTTTGTTCAATATGAACCAAACATTATACATCAGTTAGGTTTCACAAGTACATACACTTTATGAAATAAGTTAACAATCAAAATGAGTACTAGACTACTATTCTATCTTTGCTTGAGATTTTTTAAGTGACCATCCATGCTTTCAACATGGATTGAATCCGGGAAGCCGAAACATATAAACTATTTAAGTAGAGTCTAGTGGTTTAGAATCTCAAATTCAATCGATCTTCATTTAATTTCATCAGTGATTCCTATCACACTTAATATCTAATTAGCTTCACTGATCAATGTTTCGCTCTGCAACTTTTGATATACTCATCTTTAGGCCAAAATAATCTGAATATAGGATTATTTGATGAAAATCGATTGAAAAATTGTGCTGTATAGTTACCATTATTAGCAATTCATTTGAAAGTGGTTATATGCCTTAAAAGACCATTAAAAGAGATTTCATTTATTATGATAGTGACTGGGAACTTTGATTTGGCATCACAGGACTATGATACTTGGATCAATGTAATGCTAAGTGAAAGAGATTTATGACCAAACTGAAAATTTATCTAGAAAAAAAAAATCATAATGACTTTATTTAAGTGACAGATAATGATTGAAAACCAAAAACACTAGAACAAACGAGAAAACCAGTGTTCTGTCTTTATTTGATGAATTTGAGGGTGGGGGTAATAGTTCAATATAATTCTACTGAATTTTTGGTTTCAGTTTAACTAATCTTATGATCATGGATCCAGTCACATGGAAAGAGTCTTTTGGCTCATTTTTTGTTATTTTTGAATCTCTGTTAGGGTCGTTTTTTGTTTGAAGAGGTTAAATTCTAATCAAAACTTGAAATTCAAACCATTGATTACTATATTGGAGAAGGAGACCGCATAGTATCATTTTTACCAATAAACATTGTTTTTGTCGAGACCGAATTCAAGAAACCTACCTCGATTACTCAATGGCGTTGACTCACTACAAGTTTTGACTTAGCATTTTGTGCTGAGGTCACATAGTTGGAAGCAATTGACTGTAAATCAAAGATTAAAGTCTTAATCTAGCTTAGACTTATCAGAACGGTATATATGCAATCATGAATCTCACAAAGAACATCTCCTATGTAGAGACACTTTAGCTGGCACCTGTTAAGGTTTAATTGCGAAGCTTTTGTTATTTTTTTTGGCAATATTATCAAAGCCTTATTCAGGTTAAGAAAACGCTATATTTCGTGATGATTCATATCTGAGAATAATTATTTTAACAGGTACCTTCTAAATACCCACAAAATTTCAGTCATTCTTACAGTTCAGAACAAACTGTATATATTACCGTGCATCCCAGGAGTTATTTCTTTCTGTCCACTGAAACGATGTCAATTTCGATTGCTCACAAATTAGATAAGCGAAACACGAGTAAAGCATACTTTACATGTACTAATTGAGTTTGTCTTACAAAACTTTGAAGCAGCCTTAATAGTATAATTTATCAAACAATTATGCCAATGTCCTAGTAACAAAACGAGACGAAGATGAGTTTGACAAAATGGAAAAACGAAGTGTCGTTTTCCTTTTTCATGTCCTTTGTAAGGCTGAAAACTGATCGCAGATTCATGGTAGTTGTAAAGTGTAATCGATAAACGAACACACCAATGATAAGGTGGAACGCCCACCACCATATTAACTTTCCTTGACCTTGTATGACTATATCTTGTTTATTCACCCATCATAATTTTATGTTCATTATAAAACAATATTCGCCTTGCTGACTCATTTTTCCTATGCTCTAGTTACTGTTCAGTATGTTAATTATGTCTCTGTTTTTCCGTGTTAATAGATTGTACTGTTTATTTTGTATACTAACGATGTGTAATTTATGTTTTAGAAACAGATAAAGTTTCTCAAGCCAAATAGCTTACTTGTTCTGACTTTGGCTAAAGCAAGACTCTGCGTTCGACAGTCTAGAGAATAGCTTAGAGTTAAACCTGTAGGAAATTGCTTCCTACAGTAGCTGTTATTCTAGTTTAGTTCATAATAACAGTTTTTTCAATAAGCATGAATTCACCGGGTTTATCGATAGTTTTTACAATTTAAAGATCATTATGAACTGGCATTAGCTAGAGGATCATTGTCTTAAAACTATCTTTTAATAAGATAAATTTTAGTAAACTATTCATCCGAAAAAACGTTTACATAATATTTTAGTGTTTTTCATAGCTTAGTAGTGCTTTCAATTCAAAATGCGTTAATGAATCTCCGTATCCATAAAAGCTGTCTACTAAAGTCAACTTATTTCTTGGAATTTCAAGGTCAAGTGGCTTAATTAAGTTTACAGTACGGATGAAAATCAACGTAAACTGCATAAAAATATTAAAGTAATTGACCTGCTGAGTATATTTCATATCTCTAAGACCTACTAGAAAATACTAACATTTATTTTACCTTGAATTCCTTACTGGAATTTTTAAAAACACCCTTTTGTAAATGTAGGACCTATTACTTATTGTAGTCTGCATGACAACTTTCTTTTTTTCAATGATTTCATAAATTCCATTTCATCAGAACAGTCAAGAATGGTTTTTCAAACTTTCCTGTTGCATTAAGAGATCTCCAGCGAAGATGAACTGAAACAGGCACCCAAACTGACATTGAAAGTACTGGTGTGGTGCGCACTACTTATACAGAGAGATATAAGTAGTATGTAGCAGGAATTGGAAGTAGAATGCTTACCAGCAGAAGAGTGAAATAAAGAGAAGGAGAAAGGAAACGAAGAGTAATCAAAATAACAACATAATCGGAATAGTGATGATGTATGTAAAGGTCAACTGAAAAAAGATATAGGAATGATCTATTCAATATACGGTTTTCATAGTTTATAAAGATATTGTTTAACAGTGTTGAAATAACAAGTTGTTTTCACCCACCAAGTTTTCGTTCACTACACTGGCTTTAACATATGGAATTTCGGAAGACATTCTACTAACCTATGAATATTGTGACGTCCAAAGACTTCGTAAAATCCGATATAATCTTAAACAAAAATTAAAGTTATAACAGAAACTTTAGAGATACTTCCATCAGTAACTGAAAATTAAGACTGTTTTTTGTTTTCAAGTGGGACTTCACGAACCATATTCAACAAGCTGTAAGGTTAACTATGCAGGTTGCACCTGGTTTACTATGCCAATGTATATACTTGAAGGCAAGTATGCAGATACTGTAGACTTAGAAAAAATCTTGTGACAATTTATGGACAAGAATTCCAGCTGACACATTACAGCTGTAATAGACTGTCTCCATAGTCTTTTCAAACTGTCCTACATTGAAAAGTTACCAGATGAGGATTAAAAATAATTATTGGCCAGTTATAGGAAAGTGAAATTTACTCAAGATGTTAGTCGAGTCATAAACATCTTTCTATATATAATTAAGAAGCAAGCGAAAAACAAAATATCGAAAGATTCTGATCATGGTTTAGATCACAAGATAATGCAACTTAAATACTCACTGGTAATCTGGGAATAATAAATCATCGGTGTTTACCGAGCTAAAACATTTTGAATCCGTATAGGAATCGAAACATCCAGGAACAAGTATTTTCAAAACAAATTAAATGCCAATTATCAACAGTTTTTAACTTAATCACCATA